CAGCCGGGTGACGGGCAACGCGCGTCGGTCTCCAGGGTGCACAGCGCTGTGCTCCCTGCACCGCAGACCCGGGGGCTGTGCAGTAATAAGGCTTTTTTTTGACGTTGAGCCGTTTTGAAGAGGTTAAGGTGATACTTTCTGAAAACGTGGACGTTGTTGCACTTGTGTCTCGTTCCATGGTTTTCCTTCTGTCAAACACCTGCAAGGTGTCTTTCTGATCTGAATGGTCTGTGCCTCTGTCAAGTTCCCATTGAAGCTGTTGGTGTCATTGAAGTGATGTTTACTTTGATGTGGTAGGAGATGTGAATTAACACAAAGGTGCAATGCCCGAAGAATCCAGGTTTTAAGGTCGTGGAGGGCTGGCTCGGGGAGCGCTGTGGGTCTGTGAGGCACCGTGTCCTCTCTGACTTCCCGCTGTAGAAGCAGCTCCTCTACTCGTTTTGTGAAACTGTTTCCTGTCTGAAGTAACTCGGTGGAGGGTGCTCAGCACATCTTCCTCACAGAGGAGCAGAAGGGAAAGCCTGACAGCACAGGGAACCCTAGTCAGGCAGCTCAGATAAAAATCCTGATAAAACAAGCGTGACGTGCAGGGTAGCCTAGCTTCAAATGGGGAAAGGGTTTTTAGCTTATTCTCTGCAGTCCTTGGAGAAATAACTTCAGAAAGGAGAAGATGTAAGTTTTATCTCCTTTGATCCAGGCCGACCGAGGTCAGTGTTGCCATCCCTGTTTACAGAACTTGTCAATACCGAGGGAGGAAAATAGGTAAATATAGTTGTCATTTAATCTCTTGCAGGAGGTCAGTGCCTGCACTTACTTCAGACTAATTAGCACGGGATTAATGGATCATCTCTCTAGTATCCAAAGCAGCACGGCAAACTTTGATTGCCCCCGATGATTCAGGCTGGTGGGACAGCTGTAGTTTTTTTCAGGACTAGCTGTACCCCAGCAGGGGTTTGGCTGCAGCACTGGTGCTGAGCGCTCCTCGGGCAGGTGCCCAGCCCGGGACGTGTTGTGTGGGGTGTCCATGCCCTGGCACCCCCCTGCTGCCACAGCTGTGGGGAGCTGGTGTGGCGGGTGGGCTGCAGCTCCTGACGTGCTCCGGGTGTTACTCCTGCTCAGAGATTCTGTGCCAGTAGTGTCCTCAGATTGGCAATTTTAACTGGTCATGTGGTAGCCACGGGATGGTTTATAAGCTGTGGGTGGAAGGCTCCTTAGATTTGGTGCTGGGTGTAGTGTATGTGTTAGGTCATCACTGCACCCTGCAGGGTACCCAGATAGGAGTTTCTTCCTCCCACAGTTTATCTGCCTTTCTTCCCTCCTGGTGTCAACCAAGAGCCTTGGACTTAAATGGATACTGGTGGGCTGACACAGCCTCAGGGTACTAAATTTGCCCTGAGTTTTATGATTGGTTTATTATTGCATTCTTGTACTATTTTTTTCTCCTCTCCTTTGCTGCTCAACAAGAGAGGGAAGAAACATTGCTCACACTGAGCATGGGCAGATAGGGACCAAACCCATGGAAATAAATGAATACACGTTTGCTTTTTGTGCAGTGTCATCTGAGGCTGTGACAGACTGAAAGAAAAGAGTCTGGTTAATCTTGTTAACATGGTATCTCAGATCTTAACACTTTGAGGAAGTTAAGTAAAGACAGAACTAGTGACTGGCTTGCATGTGAGTGCTTTTCCAAGCCTCTAATAATTTCCTCCTTAGAACTGTTCCTGAAGCTCTCACTTTTGTCCAAATAATTATCTTCTCCCCATGTGTTAGGAGTCTATAACTGTCTATGCTTTTCCCCTTACTCTTCTTTTTAGAAGAAAGCCTAAACCTTTCCTCTCTCCTTTCTTTGTGTTGGAATTTTAAATTGGCTGAAATTGTGCTCTAGGGGAAAAGTGTTTTGCTGGTAACAAAAGTGATGTGTTCATGATGTAAAGGAAATGGCAAAACTGTTTTAGCTCAGATCCAGTATGGAAATGAGTTTTTAGTTTACTTTAGAATAAAAATATCCTTCCTCATTTCCAGATGATACCCATTCTCAGGTAAAATTTGGGGATGTGTGTCCTAAGTATGCCATGAGTGACAACCATTAACACCTGAACTTTTAGACTGTAGTGAAAACAGTGAAAAAACATGGCTTGTGTGGCTCTTGGATAGCTCTAGAAACAGTGGTAGGAATATATTTGCCTTTAAATTACATGGAAATATGTAATATGTGAATGGTTGCATTTCATCTCAGGACTCTGTGAGGTTCACAGCCACAGTCATGAATAACTGTTGGTCAGGTTTTGAGGAGGAATTGCAGCACCAACCAACAGATGTGTTGGGGAGCGCGGTTCTGTGCCTGGAAGGCTGAGCCCCTGGGAGCAGCTCCGTTTGCAACCTCAGAAAGCTAGTTAAGATTTCTTCCTGCCCTGTCAGAAGGTCCCTGCAGGACACCCGAGAGGACACGGCGCCGGGTCGGTTACAGCTCATCCATGTTTCTTTGCCTCCCCAGGGCCCCCGGCCAGCCTGTTCCAGCCGCCCCGCCGCCCGGGGCTGGGCACTGTTGGGAAACCCATCCGCCTCCTGGCCAACCACTTCCAGGTTCAGATCCCCAAGATCGATGTGTATCACTATGATGTAGATATCAAACCAGAAAAACGCCCCCGGAGAGTGAACAGGTATGAGTCATTTCATTAAAAAATTAATTAAAACCCATGTACACTTCAGCTTCATCGAAGTGTACATACTAGAAATTCTTCATCTGCTAAAGTCCAGTTTACCTGTTTGCCACATTGGCTTCTCAGTGAACAATAATATAAATATTCTCATTTTTGTTAAGTTACTTTGCAGCTGGCCTGTGATCTGGAAGTGTATGAAGCATTGAGCTACAGCTGCTTTTACTTTCCAGTCCACCAGTTGACGCCCCTGATAATTGTTCCACAGTGTCTTCTACAAATGTGTGTTAGCAGCTGAGGGGAGGGATTTGAGGTTGCAGATTGATGCCAGCATTTTTGGGTTCACATGTGGGTGCTTTGTCAGCAGAATCAATTTGCAGAGCTCCCCGGACCAAAGCAGGTGCTTGTATTTGCTCCTGTGTTTGAACCCATCCCCAGACCCTGCTGCCTGTTTTGCCTGTGCCTGTGCTGGCAGTGTGGCTGCCTGCCTGTGTGCAGACACCCCTGAGCTGGGACTTGGCAGCCTGGATCTGGAGGTGACTTTTCAAACCCCTGGAGCTGGGCTGGGTGTGCTCTGCTGCACTGGCGACTCTCCCACATTGTTTAAGAGAATCTGAAAAAGGAACTCAAAACTGTGTAAGACCAGTGCTGGATTTTCTGTTCTGTGACCTAACTCGGTAAATCCCTCTGCAGAGAGGTGGTGGACACCATGGTGAGACACTTCAAGATGCAGATATTTGGGGATCGGCAGCCCGGGTACGACGGGAAGCGGAACATGTACACGGCACACCCCTTACCCATCGGCCGGGACAGGGTGAGTTACCAGGGCAGATCTGCCTTCTGGAGGGAGAAGTGTTACAGCATCTTCTGAAAAGTGTCGTTTTATTGCCATAAACCCTAAATTCTGTTCACTTGTATCGTTTTGGAAGCAGCGGTGCCAGTCGGGGATCTCTAGGAACTTACTGGTGTTCTATTGACATTTCTAATTCCTGGCTCCTCAGTTGGAGAATTTGTCAGAGCATGTGCTGGTGCAGGGGGCTCTTGCAGCTGCAAGGGCATTTTTTTTTTTTTTCACCCTGGTAGAAACTTCCCTTTTCTCTCTTCTAACCCTTGTTCTGTTGTTAAATGATAAGGCAGTTGCAGATGACAAGCACGCTGGTTTGGTTTGGCTGCACTGTTGAGATATGTCCTGTTCCCTAAGAACTGGCCCTGCGTGGTGTGGGCCCCACTCTCCAGCACCCCAGCTCTGACTGCCTGCAGTCTCTAGTAACCAGTCCTGAGGTGCAGCTGAACCCTCATCTGCTGTTCTCCCCAGAGGTCTGGTTATTGCTGGTATGGTGCCACGAGGAGTACGTAGGCTGTGTTAACATTTACCCTTTGTGCTGGCAGCGTGTGAGAATAATCTCAAGTACTGTGCTAAAACTCTGAGATTTGTGTTTCCCAGTGAGTCTTTTTTCTGACCAAAAGGTTTTCTCGCCTTCCTGTTTCGTTCTCAAGACATCTTGCTGTTAATTGGATGACTTGGAAGAAATGACTCATAGTTCTCCAGAGCTTTGATGTCACCATACTAATTACTGCTTAAAATTTACACTCAAAGATTCCTCAGTGCAGTTTCTCTGATGAATAAATTACAAGCTTTCGAAATCCTAAGGAAGCTGATTGTAATTTTTAAAGACAAGAACCAATTGTCAAAAATACAGGTTCAAAGGATACCTAGGAGAAAAACGTGACCTTGCTTAGTGTTGTGATAGTCTACAGTCCCTGACAAGAGCTTGTGCTTAATTCTGTTCTGTGTCAGGTGGATATGGAGGTGACACTTCCAGGAGAGGGGAAGGACCAGACATTTAAAGTGTCCATTCAGTGGGTGTCTGTTGTCAGCCTCCAGCTGCTGCTGGAAGCTCTGGCAGGGCACCTGAATGAAGTTCCTGAAGATTCGGTGCAGGCGCTTGATGTCATCACTCGGCACCTTCCCTCCATGAGGTGGGTACTTCTGGTGCCTTCCTGACTGCCTTCATCTTGTGTCTGTCTCAGTGTTTGTATTTGTTATTTCTTGCTGACGGGCTGAGGGATGCAGTTGTGTAATTCAACACCTGCCTTAGAAATTTGCACTAGAATAGGGAAATCGGATATGAACTCGGATTGTTTCTGCTGGTCAGGTTTCTCACAGGAGTTGCTGTAGCCTTTCCAGCTGTACTGTTGGTAGAGGCTTTGTGTTCTTGCTGTGAGTTGACTCTAACAGTTCTAACCCACTGAAGAAACATGTTTTAAACACTATGGGCATGAACATAAAAATGCATATCTGAAAGGAATCATCAGAGTATTAATTTTTCCTGCTTTTTTTTCAGGTACACTCCTGTGGGTCGCTCCTTCTTCTCCCCGCCCGAAGGCTATTACCACCCCCTGGGTGGTGGCAGGGAGGTCTGGTTCGGGTTCCACCAGTCAGTCAGGCCTGCCATGTGGAACATGATGCTCAACATCGATGGTACGTAGGAAATTCTGTCTCACTAATGTGGCAGAGTTCTTCCTGCTTCTAAATTAAACGTCCTCTTTTTTTTATCTTAGTGTCAGCAACTGCTTTCTATCGTGCCCAGCCTATCATTGAGTTCATGTGTGAGGTCCTGGACATTCAGAACATCAACGAACAAACCAAGCCTCTTACAGACTCTCAGCGTGTCAAGTTTACCAAAGAAATCAGAGGTAAAGGCTTGTTCTAGAGCTGCTGCAATAAAACACTGCAAACGTGCTCCTGTTACATTGCCACGAACATTGGCAAGCTTGGGAAGCTGGCCTGTTCCTTTTGGCCTTTGTGTTTCTTAAAGGTGACTCCTATGCCTGAATTTATTCAGATGACTTTTGGGTTTTCAGGTCTAAAAGTGGAGGTTACCCACTGTGGGCAGATGAAGAGGAAATACCGGGTGTGCAATGTGACTCGGCGACCAGCCAGTCACCAGACGTATGTAGAGAAGCACTTTCTGAAAATGTTTGAAATATTAAACCTGTTAGATATAGGAGTTTGGTGGGGTTTTTTTATGTTTATGTAAGAACAATTGGTTCTGGAGGTGAAGCAGCTGTGTGGCTTTACAGGAATGTCTGGTGGAGTAGAGGAACAGTGTGCATTTAGACCAATGCTTTATTTCCTTCAACCCAGGAAAACTGAAGCTGTGTCCTGCCTCTAAATGTAGTTATCAAAGGCTGTAATTTTTAAAATAGCTATGAAAAATTCAGTATATAGTCTCTAAGTTCTTTTCATAAAGAAGAGATTCAATAGCTGAGAAAGTAAGTGTTTCAGCATTTCAAGTCTGGAATAGATTTTTCCATACCTTTTTTTCCCTGTAAAAACAATAAATCTTGAGACGTGTAACCAGAACAAATGTCCGTTATAGGTTTCCTCTGCAGCTGGAAAATGGGCAGGCTATGGAGTGTACAGTAGCTCAGTATTTTAAGCAGAAGTACAGTCTGCAGCTGAAATACCCTCACCTTCCATGTCTGCAAGTGGGACAGGAGCAGAAGCACACGTACCTGCCGCTGGAGGTAGGGTCTGACTCCCCCTGCGCCGCCCTGTGCCGGCCGTTAGCCGGTGTCACCCCCCGCTCGCTGTCCCCCCCAGGTGTGCAACATCGTGGCTGGCCAGAGGTGCATCAAGAAGCTCACGGACAATCAGACCTCCACCATGATCAAAGCAACGGCGAGATCTGCGCCCGACCGGCAGGAGGAGATCAGCAGACTCGTAAGTGTTCTTTCCAGCTCAACACCTGCTCGTGGCTCTTCCAGAGGCATCGTAGCATATCTCAGAAGTAGACTGACCAAGAACTGCAGAAGTTACAAAATCTGACTTCTTTAAAACAAACCCTTTGAAGTAGAAGAGGCTGCTGGTGGCAAAGAGGACAGAGCCACCCGAAGCGTTGGGTGTGGTTACAGCAATACCTTCCTTCTCACCAGGTGAAGAGTAACAGCATGGTGGGTGGGCCCGACCCCTACCTGAAGGAGTTTGGCATCGTTGTCCACAATGAAATGACAGAGCTGACGGGCAGAGTTCTGCCAGCCCCAATGCTGCAATATGGAGGCAGGGTGAGTTCTCCATGCCTTGTGAAATACCTTGTCCTGAGGTTCTTTAAATTCATGAAGTGTTTTGTGTATCTTATTTTAAAGCTTCCTTTCTAACAAAGCAGCGATTTATTTTTAATTTACCTTTGTTTTTTACCTAGAACAAGACTGTGGCCACACCAAACCAAGGTGTGTGGGACATGAGAGGGAAACAGTTCTATGCTGGCATTGAGATTAAAGTCTGGGCTGTTGCCTGTTTTGCTCCTCAAAAACAATGCAGGGAAGACTTACTAAAGTAAGTAGTTTTCTATTTATTCAGGATACCTGATTCAAGGTTTATTTTCCTCACATTTCTGAAGGGTGATATGCAGTGTAAACAGATTTTAATGCATCTAATGGTAAAATGTGTAAACAACAGTTCAGCAGTGTCCTAAGTGCAACTCAGGAGGAGTCTATGGCAGAGTTCAGAACCTGACTGGCCAGCTAGGAAAAACCTTAGTTCCCTTACTACTGAGACTGTGTTTCTGCTCAGGGGGCTGCATTCCACTTGTATCCTGTTTTCACAAATAACTGATGATGGTCTTTCATTCTAAAACATGAAGTATTTTTTTTCTTAACCTTTGCTGCCTCCCAGGCAATATACACCACTTTTTTTTTTCCTCTGTCCTTCAAATTACTCTACAAAATCCTAAAGCAGAATTTGAGTGAGCCACTGAAATGTTTGGCAAAAATCATGGTTGCAAGATAAGTTTGGTGCATGAGTAAAAGTCTATCATCAGTATTAATTTGGGAATCTGCCTCAGAATGTTCAACTTGAATGTATGTTTGTTTCCACAATGTCAGAATGTCAGAAAGGGGCTTGTGAAACTTCCTCAGACAGGATTAGAATCGTATTAGTAAGTTCCTTATAGTGACAGTTGCTAGGAAGTAATTATTGCAGTGTCAAATTTGAAGTGCTGTGAAACAGCTGCAATAGGAAGTAACTTAGACCTTGTTGACAAAATAAATGGCAGAGCAAAACCTCATGAGAAGATCAGGGCAAGTGCATTTATGTTGAATCTGCAGGAGCTTCACGGACCAGCTGCGGAAGATCTCCAAGGACGCGGGGATGCCCATCCAGGGCCAGCCCTGCTTCTGCAAGTACGCCCAGGGAGCCGACAGCGTGGAGCCCATGTTCAAACACCTCAAACTCACCTACGTGGGTCTGCAGCTGATCGTGGTGATTCTGCCTGGAAAGACACCCGTGTACGGTATGGAGCAGAGGCTGCGGAGCGTCGGTGGTACAGGCAGTGGGTATCTGGGTGTGCGCTGCCTCAGTGGGGAGGAGGCAGAGCATCTCCCCATCATTTATGCTCTGTTTAAAAGGACTTTTGGAGAGGGGGTTGTCGAGCCTGATGGGAGTACATGTGTATCACCAGAGCTAACTGGATCTTTGTCAGTGAACTGTTAAGGGTCTGAATTATGACACCATTTGAAAAAAAAATAAGAGAAAGGAGGTGGATCTGCTGACTGGGTAACTGGAACCACTAACTTATTTTTCTGTCGCAGCTGAAGTAAAGCGGGTTGGTGACACCCTTCTAGGAATGGCCACTCAGTGTGTTCAGGTAAAGAATGTGGTAAAAACCTCCCCACAAACGCTGTCCAACCTGTGTCTGAAGATAAATGCAAAGCTTGGAGGAATCAACAATGTGCTTGTACCTCATCAAAGGTGAGATTAAATCTGAAGCTGTCCTTAAGGTCTGGAGTGTTAAGTAAAATAGTATAATTTTGTTTTATTCACTAAAATGATAGCTTTCAAAATACTACGTGCTTTAGAAACACCCAGTCTGAGGTGGACAGAGAATTGATGCTCCTGCACTCAGAGTCTCCCTAGAAAGCCCTGTGCTGAGGATCACCTCTCATGTCAGAGCAGTGTGTGTGAAAACAAGCTCAAAGGCTATTTTTTTCCCCTTTTTTCCGCCTTTTCTCCGTCTGCCTTTTCCTCTTGCCACTTCCTTAAGCACACTGTATTTCCTTCCAGATTGAAAGAAAGGGGGTGATGCAGAGGGATTTGTGAGAAGTGATTGTAACTTTGTGTGCCTTTGGTCCTTTCCTTGTTGCTTTTTCTTCTCTCTGGGCTGTAAGAGCTTGAGGCAGAACTTTACCCTTCGAGACTGACAGGGTTGTAGTGCTGAGGAAGGGTTTGGATACACCTTCCTCGGTTGGACTTTTTTATTTTTTTCCTTCCTCGCCCTTCTTCTTTGTGTTCTTATTGTTATGATCTAATAA